TTCAGCAAATAAATGGATCACCGGCTGGTTACCTAGAGGTAGGGATGGATTCGGTTCGGGCCACCCGGCCCGTCCGGCCCGGTACTGTGCGGGCCCGGGACCGGCCCGGTCAGGCGGTCCGGGACCGGGTATGGACCCGAACCGATGGGAAGGGGCGGGGCGGGCTCGGTTCTGCATTATTGTGACCCGGCCCGGCCGGGTCGGGCCCGGGCCCGGGTCCGGGTCCATTTTTTTTTAAAAAAAAATTGGTTTAGGCTCCTACTAGCCGTTGGGGGTGGGGGTGGGGACAACCCAAACGACTATATAGCCGTTGGGTGGGGTAAAGGGGGGGTCCGGGTGGGTTGGCTGGTGGGGGGGGGTGGTGGGGGGTGGGGGGTAAAAAAACCTATAAATACTTCTAATCTTAAACATTTTTTCATATCTCTTCTCCAATTCTTCCTAAATCCTATTCTTAACTCTCTACTCTCTAATTCTCTTATTCTCCATTCTCCAATATATTATATTTATTATTTATAGTTTATATTAATTATCTACTTATATAAACTATAAATAGATATAAATAGTATTATATTACTTATATTTGTTATCTAATTATATATTACTTATATATTTATTATATCTATTAATATAGTTGGAATTATATCTAATTAATTTGAAGTCATTCTATTACTCCCATCCGAAAGACCGAAAGTCCCGAAAGAGGTACGAAATTATTCTATTATTTACACTTGTTTAATTACTAGTTAATTTGCTACATTTGACTCATGTTTAATAGTTAGATAAATCATAAATAGTTAATTAGTTTTTTACAATTTTTTATTAATGGCTACATTTGACTCTAGTTTAAAAAATATGTTGTACACAAAACTAGTTAATTCACTACTTAATTTGCTATAACTCGAATTAATAGTTAGATAAATAGTTAATTAGTTTTTTACAATTTTTTATTAATGGCTACATTTGACTCTAGTTTAAAAAATATGTTGTACACAAAACTAGTTAATTCACTACTTAATTTGCTATAACTCGAATTAATAGTTAGATAAATAGTTAATTAGTTTTTTACAATTTTTTATTAATGGCTACATTTGACTCTAGTTTAAAAAATATGTTGTACACAAAACTAGTTAATTCACTACTTAATTTGCTATAACTCGAATTAATAGTTAGATAAATAGTTAATTAGTTTTTTACAATTTTTTATTAATTGCTACATTTGACTCTAGTTTAAAAAATATGTTGTACACAAAACTAGTTAATTCACTACTTAATTTGCTATAACTCGAATTAATAGTTAGATAAATAGTTAATTAGTTTTTTACAATTTTTTATTAATCGCTACATTTGACTCTAGTTTAAAAAATATGTTGTACACAAAACTAGTTAATTCACTATTTAATTTGCTATAACTCGAATTAATAGTTAGATAAATAGTTAATTAGTTTTTTACAATTTTTTATTAATTGCTACATTTGACTCTAGTTTAAAAAATATGTTGTACACAAAACTAGTTAATTCACTACTTAATTTGCTATAACTCGAATTAATAGTTAGATAAATAGTTAATTAGTTTTTTACAATTTTTTATTAATCGCTACATTTTTTAGATGGATCGTCCTAGATATTCGGTTGATATGGGTAACCTCGAGCGCAACCGAACGAAAGAGCTTGCGAGGAAGAGATCCCGCAAAGGTAAATCACATATCGGCTCTTCATCTCAAAGTCAAGATGATTTTGATACGGGTTACGTAAGGAGGGATGGGGATGCGATGACCGACGAACAACTAGAACAAGAATTGCACCGACATAATTCCCGCTTTTTTCAAGACCAACCGAGGACCATTGACGAAGAAGAGCTCGAGGACGAGGACGACGATGTGGAGGAAGCAATTCCGGAGAGCCACGAGGAGGAGGAGGAGGAGGGTGGCGGCAGCCATGACTCCGACCAAGCAGCCTCATCCCAAACAGGTACAAAAAAAGTAAATCTGAATTAATGGCTAATAATTTTTCTAAGTGGAAGGACCCGAACACCGGGAATTGGACCGCAACTTGCAATTGATGCAAGAAAAACTATAGCTTGGGGATTTCCGGCGGATACGGATCCGCCACAAGACACCTTAAGTCCAAACACCCGGTGGAGTATGCAAAATTAGGCGGCGGAACGGGGAAGCAAACGCAAATATCGAGGTTTGCAAATAACCAACAAGCTTTTGGTAATTTCTCATACAATGATGCACAAAATTTGACAGGTATGGCTAACTTACTTGTTGAAGAAAATTTGCCTTATTTGTTTTCTGAAAGTCTTGCTTTTCGTGATTATGCACAAACTTGTTTAAATCCGCAATATAGAAGTTATAGTCGCAAAACGGTTAAGAAAGAAATTTCAAGGCTTTATGGTGCGGAAAAGGTAAGGTTACAAAATTATTTTGCAAACTTTGATGGACGTGTTACTGTATGTTCTGACATATGGGAGGATACTTATCATAATTTACATTATTTGGGTGTGACTGTACATTATATTGATAATGATTGGCATATGCATAAACGTGTTCTTGCTTTCCGTGAATTTAATGATCGTCACACCGCTGAACATATTTATATTTTGATTGAACGTATTTTAATTGAGTATAATTTAATTGATAAGGTGTTTGCTATTGGTTCTGATAATGCTACTAATAATACTGCTGCTATTCCTAGATTGCGTGAATTGTGTGGTTCTACTTCTTTGATGGGTAGATTTTTTCATCAACGATGTGCATGTCATGTTCTAAATTTATGTGTGCAAGATGGTCTAAAAGCGTTGGGAGCATCGTTGGAGGTAGTCAAGGGGGGGATTAGACGTATTTGGGGTAATGGACACCTTAGGAAAAATGGCATGATTATTTGATAGAAAGAGGTGAGAGATATGTGACTTTTACAAAAGATTTGTCTATTCGTTGGAATAGTACCTATAAGTTAATTGGAGTTCTTCTTAGATATAAACAACATTTTTCTGCTTTTATGAAACAATATGATAACTATATTATAAACTCGGCTGAGATCGACACCTGTGAAAAAATTTGTAATGCTTTGATATATTTTAATAATGCAACTGAAACTTTTAGTCATGTTTATAAACCTACCTCAAACCAATTTATTCGTGAAGCTGTTAATCTCGCCGGTGCTTTTTCAAATTTTGAGAATGCTGATTATGTGAGTTATTTTGCTGGTTTTATGAAGGAAAAGTTTTTAAAATATTATTCACATATTCCGCATATTTATGGTATTGCATTTGTTCTCGATCCTCGTTTTAGACTTGGTTCTTTAGAAGAATGTTTGAATTATTATTATGCTGCTTTTTTTGGTCCATTGCCAATGTATGAGGACAACCCAATTGATCCGAAAAAAGAATACAACGAGGTTAGTGATATATTTTATGCATTATTCAATGAGTTTAGTGCACAATATGGCAATGCGCCCTCTCCCCCGACACAAACATCATCTAAAGGAAAATCAATTTTCAAATCTACGTTTGCCAATCTTATTAAAAAAACAAAATCAACTCCCGCTACACAACAAAGCACAATTAATGAGATTTCTTTGTATTTAACTTATGATGTTGATTTTGAAGAAGATGATGATTTTGACGTACTAAACTGGTGGAAGGGAAAAGAAAGAATGTTCCCGATTTTAGCAAAGATGGCTAAGCAAGTGTTATCAATGCCGGTTTCAACGGTTGCCGTGGAACAAGAATTTAGTTCGGCCGGCAATGTTCTAACACAAACCAGAACGAGGTTGAGCGCTGAATCTCTTGAGATGCTTATATGCTACCACGATTGGTTGAAAGCAGCACGTAGAGCTCAAGAAATTGACATCACTCCATCCCAACACTTTATGGATGAATCTACAACAGAGGGTGGCTCTACCTATGCCGGAGATTCCGATTAAAAACAATTATAGTTCCTATTTAATTTTCAAATGTAGTTCCTATTTCATTTGAAATAAATGCACTTGAAGTTTGTTTTTTAATACTTGTATAAAACTATAAAGTATAAAATAAAAATTAAAAAAAAAAATATTTAACCGGCCCGGCGGGTGGCCCGGCCCGAACCGGACCCGTCCAACCCTCGGGCCGGTCCCGGGCCCACTATTCTTGAACCGGCAGCCCGACCGGGCCTAGGCCTGGCCCGGGCCCGACCCGGCCCGAATCCATCCCTACCTAGAGGATTTGATTGTTTTTAATACTTTAGGGAATTGATTGATTTTAAAGTGCGAGAACTCAATTGACTTTTCAGAAATAGCATGAGAATCTATTTGACAGATTTCCCTATTGTTAAAGTTAAATCCTCCATGTTGATAATCTCTTCAAATTGCAAACTCCAAATTAAAATATAATTAAAAATTTACATCCTAAATAAGTGAATAAAATAAAATTATTTGACCAAGAAAAGTCAATTTTACAAATCAATTTGGAATGAAGGTAATATACTTATTCAAATTGTGAATCAAAAAATGAAAAACCGATAACCATATCGATCTAACAATAAACATGTGAGTTTTAATAAAAGGTAGATAGACCTTGTTAAGTGTAAAGAAAGCAAAATATTACCTAACTATTCATTATGTTTAGAAAAATAATTAAATTTGGATAATTGGATATACACAATATTTTTTTCTAAAATAGGATTCTTTTGTTTCATAAAATTGAATTTTGATTTACTTTCATTCTATAATTGTGACAATTGGCAAGTCAACTATGAACAAGTGTAGTATTTGATTTTATCATATTTTGCTATATGTAATTTAATTTCAAACGTTTTATATCTCGTTGGAAGAATCTTGTCCTATCCTAAAACTCGTATTTTACACCGGTCAACTGGTGTATATATATCCAACTATTCATGATATCCTACTATTCATGAACAACTATGTATGATATCTTCGCATTTAGCATTAGCCTTTTTATAAAATGTTGATTTGATACAACCTAAACTATCCAACTTAAGATCCTATCCCTTACATGTATTTAAAATAATCATAAATCAGAGCAAAATCGTACTCATCGCAAAATCTAAATCATGATGTTGTTTAAAAATCTGAAACTGATAATCACGAATTAACGCTTACTAAACTGGCTGTTGTACTAATTTTTAGGACCTAGAAGGAGAATGCAGCTATACAAAATAAGCAAACAATTCAAATTTTCTTTAATTTATACAACATTTATATCATTGAGCCATGCGGTATGCAATGGACATGGATCAGGCTTTCCGGCTGCAAGTGCTTTCTGTGAGAGCGAATAGAACCAGCCATTCCTCCATTGGAACTACAGGAAGAAGTGGAGAACACCAACAAAAAAGTACAAACTACAAAGTTAGCCCATCAGAGGTGGTGGTTATGCTGATATCCCCCCAAGACTGACTTAAACATTTCCTACCTCCTTGACTGCTGTCGGGAAGTTGGAAACTGCTCGTGAGTAGGCACATAGCCTATCCTCCATAGTTTCTTCAAAGAGTATTCCTTTCTCTGCAGCTGCAGCTGCTGCCAGCTCACTAATAAGGCTGGATACCTGAAAGGATCCACCTGATTTTTTAATCTCATTCTTGATCAATTACATAAAGGCCTCATTTAAATTGACTTTGGTGGTTGCATGGTTGTTGATGGCGCAGAATGGCGCGTGCACCATGCGCCATGCGCCATGTGGCACGCAAGTCACTCATGCACCATGCAAATAGGTCGTGGCGATGAATATACAAGTGGAGACGCCATTCTCTTGCCTTCGCCATCGTCATGGCGCTGCACCATGTTATTTAACAAAACAGAACCTTTTGTGCATGAAGCGATGATGCGAAAATAGCGATTGCTTTAATCGCTTGAGGTGGGAAAGGGCTTTTAGCCTTTTATTAATTTATGTTTGAGCCTATTTTTAATAATAAGCCCATATTTATTATTTAGCCCATCCAAATAATAGGTTACAACCTAAACCCATGTTAAACCCTTTTGGCCTTTTAAGTCACGGTAAAAGTCTTCTATGGTGACTTCATCGTTGCAACTGCATTCAACGATCAACCCACAGAAGCCAGCAATCCATAAGATGTCTTCTTCATCATCATCTTCCCATGATCTTTCTTCTTTCCTTTTCAGATTGTAGTTTTCATTCATTTTGCCATCTTCATGTTGATCCTTTCTTTTAATTCTTTCAGCCTATCTTCTTTCTTTACTTTTATCACTTCCAGTCATTTGCATACCTTATAGTTTTCTTTGCTTCTTATATATTCTATACGTTATAGTTCTCTTGGCTTCATCTTATTACACAGTCTATAACTCTATATCTTCTTATTATCGTTTCATATTTTAATTGTACAAGACTTCATTCATACTGAGTATAATCTAACTCAGTTAATAATAGTTTCATACTGAATACTACCTCTGTCCCAAATTGATTTGCAAATTTAACTTTTCTTGGTCAAACAGTTTCATTTTATTTGCTTAATTAGGATGCCAATTTTTAATTATGCTCTAATTTGAAGTTTGCAACTTTGAAGAGATTTCAATTTAGTTTCTGAATATGTAAATTTTAATTAGTAAAAATTTAATTAATTATCAATTGAGAGGATTGACTTTCATTGTTGGTTGACCAAAAAATGTTGAATTTGCAAAATAATTTGGGACGGAGGGAATATAATTTAAACTATTTTAACTTCACATGTTTTAGTTAGAATGTTGTTATTCAATTTTTTATCATGTTTTGGTGGTAGGGTGATACAATTATAGTGTCTATAATTCGGTTTTTTAGTTTTTATTTTTTTTGTCACGTGGCGTAGCCATATTTGCGTCATTTTCATTGCCATGGAAAAATGTCTGTGCACCATTGATGTCGCCATGCGCCATTGAGTCGCCATGCGCCATTGAGTCGCCATGCGCCATGACAACTATGGGTGGTAGCAGTTATTGAGTTGTTGGGAATTAGATAAAATCACGCTTGATATGGCGGGAGTTGCTGTGAACATAACCACAGTCACTATTCAATGTATAGTGAAAACAGGCCCCATAGCAAGAAATTATGTATTCCATTAAAGAAATTCCTTCATGTAAATTACTTGAACATCACCTTGATCATAATATTCACTGTTAAAACATAATCATGATCACTGTTCCCTAAAGTCACATTTCTGTCCATTGTTTTTATTTTACTCAATAAACATTTTAAGGGAAGCATGTGAGCGGGGTTTTCTTAAATTAATGTCAAATTTAGTCTTTTTAGAACTTTTTTAATGAAAAAAGCATATCCAGTGAAACATTGTTAAGTAAACCTTGACGAAAGAGTGGTAGATGATCTTCAAGATCTATAGGCTTATATTGCTTTCACATTAAAATGAACAATACTATTGAACAAAAAGCAGTGCATTGAACCGATGCACAAAGAACAACTATTTACGGAGTACTCCCTCCGTTCCTATTAAAACTTCCAACTTTCCTTTTTCGTCCATTCCAATTAAAACTTCCACTTTCCCCTTTTAGTAAAGAATTTGTGGTTCACAACATTTCTTACAAATTTCTCTCTCTTCTGCACAACTCTCCACCGCACAATACCCACTATCTTAAATTGTGTGCCAAACATATTTGGAAGATATTATAGGAACGGAGGGAGTATAATTTACCTCGGTTCGGTACTGCTTTTCAACATCACCTACAGTTGCTCCCGGATGACGAGCTCCCACAAGCATGAATGCACTTATCCATATAAGTTTTTCTAACATTTGCTTCTGAAATGCCTCTTTGTCAATGACCTGATTTTGAACCCATGACATAATGAGACTTCAAAAGAATACTCATAAAATGATGGACTTCTTTCTGTGAAAAAGGAAATTGAAATATGAAAATGACGATCTACAGCTTAGATCATATATATATATATAAGGTGCTCTTTAAGGACTAGTAGGGTCACTTGGCTGAGCCATAAGACACTTGGGACAAACCACTTTAAGAGATTGAATCCATTCTATTAGCTTGTTCAACCCACAGTCTTAGTAACCATTATTCTCTCTTCAATTGTCGCCGTGGGACTCTAACAATTCTATCCAAGTCATAGTATAGAATATCAAATGCAATATATATTCATACATACTTTACAGGAAAGTCCACCAGCATGCAATCGGGAAGCAACTTCAGATCCCCACTTGCCATAAGCTGCCGTTAAGCCTTCGGGATTTGTATCAGTTTTACCATCGATAGGGGGCTCACCTAGTTTAGCCACCGCAAAGTATGCCAAAACTTGGTCGGCATCACCCAGGCCTTTACTCTGGAACCATGGCTCCAGCATTCCATTCTGGAAAAATACCAAATCTGCTACATTGTTAAGATTTTATATGCTTGTTATAGTTATCCAAGAAGAACCAGTTAAGAAGACAACCCAGACTTGGGATGTTTGTTATCCTCAATTCCTTGCACTGTAAATAAATTAATTAAAACTTTAAAATCCAATTATCTTACAAATTCTGAATGCATAAAGAATAATACATTCCATTATAATCTTCATGCAACTTCAGTGTGGCTAAGGTTTCTTAATTCATGAAAAATTAAGTAATCGAGTTCTAAATCTAAACATGTACACATTCATTAAAAACTACTTGATTAGAGAAATCTACTGCATACAGTTGAAGTATAAGTGTATAACTATATATTCTGATAATTTTACTACGTATAATATAGCGGAAACTAAGAAGGGAATAACATATAATGAGCCCGTTTTGGTAACACTGAAATTGGCTGAATCGGCTGATTCTGCTGAAATTTATGAAGTTCTGTCTGAAGTGCCTTATTGGCTGATTCTGCTGATTTATGAAAAAATTAAAAACATATTTTATTAATAAAATAAAGAAACAATTATATGTAAAAATAGCTCAAATGGTCCTCTACAGTAACTTCAGCCGATACAGCCAGAAAAGTATCTCTAACCTTACCTTTTCTTATTATTACAAATTTCAGCGCGCGAAATAAAAAGTTACATATTTGATGAAAAGTTGGTTGATAAGCTTGATAAGCTGAAAAACGATGTTACCAAACGGGCTCAATATGTACGCGTTTGAGAAGATATTCAGTTGAGCAATTTTCTAGTTGTATTAGTACTTAAGTAATTCTTTAGCCTTATATACACACTCATTATTAGTATTGTGCAGTTTCCTAGTCCTGGAGAGGCCAAATGTTTTGAGCTATTCCACACTATTCCAACTCATACATAAGTCTCTGGTACTAAGATCAATATCATAGGTTTCGATAATCAAAACACTAATTAGCTGGGAGAGCACTAAAAATGTATATTAGTTACATTCTCATTATTCTTTCTTAATTATTCTATGCATTCTAGCTTTGTTTATTCTCAAATGAATTAAGCTAAAATTGCCAATAAGTTGTTCATCAAATGTATTAACATTTGTCTCTAAGGGATCTTGACAATAAAAAACTAATACAAATAATGAGGCATAGTAAATTATGATACCCTTCCAGCGAGCCTTAGGTGTGGCTTCTAGTACAGCCTCAAGATCATCATTTCTAGTACAGACCAAGATGGGGCCGGGAAAGTCATGGGGCACGCGTTCGCCCCTACTCACCAACGCATCTTCACCATTTCCCATGGCTTGAAGGACTTTTCCCACTCGTCCGCCGCCTACTATGACGGCCGGAACTACCTTTGTGATTGTGATGCGAGGAGCTGCCATGACGATCGAGGGGTTGATAGTGTTAGGTTTTGTCCTGTCAACGCAATGGGCGTTTCCAATTGGAATTTTTCAACGAAACTTTATAATCTTATCTTAATTATTGGTTAAGTCTAGTTTACTCGTACAAATTTTCAGCTAAAATTTCAATCGGGTAGGCATTCAAATAAATTCTCGAGGATAACTGTGCAGTTAAAAGCGAAGTTATCTTCAAGAATTTATTTGAATGTCTTCCCAATTGAAGTTTTAGCTGAAATTTGGTATGTGTAAATTAATCTTAATGAATAATATGCTCGCAAAATTTCATCGAAAAATTCCACTGGGAACCGTCCAAATGACGTCGGCCGGACAGAACCTCCTAAATAAGATCTTATTTGACATTTTTTTTTGTAAGTTCGAGGTCATATCTGACCCTTTTCTCATTTGGATGAGATAAAATAACCCATTAGTAACATGGTTTAATGAACCAAATCACTAGTTAAATATAAATTCGGTGCATTAGACATCTGTGAAAAATATTCTAAATTTCGAAGGGGCTTAAGGTAAATATTCCAAACTTACATGTGTAATTTAAATATCCTAAACTTTACATAATAAGTTATTTTAGTGTCATGATCATATATTTGTCATATAATTTATGGTGAAAGTTATATGCTCATGGTGTTAAGATGACTCTTTTTATAAAGTTTGGGATATTGAAATCATATGTGCAAGTTTGAGGTGTTTACATCACACACCTTCAAAATTTGTGGTATTTTAATTATTTTTTCCTTTGAAAGATGCGTCAAATCCCCTTATTTATAATCATTCATGCCCGAAACCTCTCCAAGAACAAATTTTACAATTTTGAATTCACTTTTCTTAATAATATGATGGAATATGCATGTAACTTTGTCAAAAATTTAAATTATACTAAAAAACTAATATGTGACACCGCACCCGGATGTATTTGAATTTGAAAATTCAACACATATTTTTATTTCCTAGCGAATAAAAATTGTGCACAGAATGATTTATTTAATTAATTGGTGATTAATTAAATTATTTATCGGGTCCATTCTATTGAGAATGAGCTACCGAATAATTAGTTGGGTCATCATAATAATTATAGAAACCCATTAAAATGTTAACTAAAGTTGAAAAAAATGTTTGGACAACTCAAATGCTATTTTGACTCAACCTGCCAGAAATAGCGGGAATAATTGAGAGGAACTTTCTACACACACTTGGGATATTTTATGAACCAAACAAGTCTCAAATTAGAAGGAAGGTGCCTTCCTAGAGACAAAACACACATCTCCATGACCCCATCCCTTAATTAAATTTTGGGATCGATTGCATAGAGATGTCTTCCTATCCATTGCATCATTCTAACAAGCAAAGGAGGGAGAGCTTAAGAGAAAAGTCTCCGGCAAGTCCAAGCTTGAAGGAAGCCATATGAAAGAAAACCCAACTCAAAAAGGCTATGTCTTGAGGTAAGAATCCAACTAGCATACATTAACTAGTATTTTAATTTATTCATACGATTTTTAAGAAATCATACGGTGGATTAAACCATGAATTCTACACGTTTAAAAGGGTAGAATATTGGTATAAAGTGTTGGTATTTTATAACACCGCCCCCAAGTATTTGTACTTTATCAAATTATGTATTGAACCCTGAGAAATGAATAAACGCATTTTACGTGATTGTAAATTTTTATCATTTCATTTACGTGAATAGTAAAAATCACGTGGGGCCCACGCTGGAAGTGGGGGCCGCCCGGTAATGTCGAGACCATATATTATATTCATCTGGGACTAGATAATATTTATATGGTGGTGGATATCCTAATTGGGCCATGGCAAAGGCATAGGGTTGACCGGTTGGTCAAACGAGGCCCAATTATCAGTATCGGCAATTTATCAGATAACAGCCCGAAAAGGGATTTCGGAGACTTCTAAATTAAGTTGAGGAAGGTATATTAATTCCAAAAGTCCAATAAGGATTTAGAACACGAGTTATATTTTATTTGACCCGATAAAATAAAATATAATTAAAACAATCCGGGAAATACAACTTTCGGGACCAAGTGTACACTTGGGAACATAAAAGGATGACCTCCCACATGAGTGGGGGCCACCCCACGATTTTAAGTAGTCAAAAGTCAAGGGGAGCCGCATCTTTAGGCTGTTGAAAAGGGTTGGAGACAAGGTGTGAAAGAAAGGGGGTCTCTCCCCCATCTTATTGATGAATAAGCCAAAAGTGCCATCCCTACCATCCCTTAGCCCATGTGTCCGACCATTCCATTCATTTTTGAGAGAGGAGCTCTGCAAGTTATCACCTCCACCAGTCTTAGTCGAACCAAGCTCAAAGGAGGTCTAAGAAGAAAGTTTAAGGAGGATTAAAGTGAGGAAAAGCTGGGAAAAGTGTGAAGAATTAAAGTAATAACCTTATAACAACTTTTCCTTAACTTCTTATCTAACTTACGACTCATATGTCCTATAAAGGACCCCCAGAATTGCTCTACATGTTTAGAGGTGTAGAATGAGGGGTTGGAAGGTAGTTCTTAGTCCAAGAACGGACTTAGAAGTCAAAGTGACCGGTTCACCGGAAAATAACCTTTTGGAGGTTATTCGTATTAATATGGGTTTTAGGATGATAAAAGTAACTTGTCTAAGGTATTCAAGGAACTTTCACGGAGTTGAAAGGGTCGCCGGAATTGTCGCCGGAATTCGTTGAAGTTCGCCGGAGTTTCGCTAGAGCTTAATAAGGAAGACTAGAACTTCATAAGCTTCATTTAAGGTGAGAAGACGGCTTTATGCTTTATAACTTTTGCGTGAGGCATGAGATTACCTAAATTAATCAAGAATATGTTTTATGGATTAATTAATGGTATTAAAGCATGTGTTATGTTATGTTAAAGAATATAACATAGTTGGAAAACATGATTTGTAGGTTTGATTAGTGAAATTATCATAAAGTGATATGTATGATGTTCCAAGGACCCAAATAGGTATTTTTGGATTAAGGACGTCAAATAATACTTGCATGTAAAATTTCACGTTAATCGGACTCCGTTTGGGCGGTCAAACGGGTGTTGACCGCCAAGTCAACTGCTCCTATGCAAGAAAAGGGTCTAATTGATAGAATATAGAGGAAGCACCATACGTATTCTGAGAGCCAATCCAATGGCCAAGGCTAGCCCATCTTGATCAAGAAAGACGAGATGGTGCGGCTTAGGATTAGGTCTAACCTGCGCTAGGGACTTTCATTGAATCAATCTCGGTATGTCATATTTGAATGAATTGTGTATTTATGTTATTGATAAAATAACTGAGAAATGGATTTATTGATTTTCAAATAGATATCACATTCCTGCCAGTCTTTCGGTACCAGCTCCTGTTCTTTCTGCGACACAAGTTTCGAAAAAAGGCTTTCTCTCTAGTGAAAGAGTGAAGTAAGGAGCGAAAGCCACTCGACTGATAAGGAGAGGAGTGAAAGGCAGGCGATAGGGTATGGGCAAGTACCCGACCGGGTATTTGCTGCAAATTTGTGCCAGGGGCTATTGTCTCCTATACCCGATCGGGTATGGGTAGGTACTCGATCGGGTATGCATTGAAAATTCGCCCCAAGGGGCTACTGTCTCCTATACCCGACCGAGTATAGGTAGATACTCGATCGAGTATTGGGTTTCACACCCCAACGGTCAGTTTTGAATGAGTATAACGAGGGGCGTTCGGGTGAGAACTGTCCACGTTGATTACTAAGGAATATTATACGATTATAGGGCTAGGTATTGTCCATAGTCGAAAGAATGAAACGTTAACCACATCCAGGTTAGGATTTGGTAGAGCATAGACCGGGGATTGAGTATCCTTGGACGGTAAATGATCCAGAATACTCCAGGTGAGGTCGAGTACCCTTGGACTGTAAATGATCCAGAATACTCCAGGTGGGGTCAAGTACCCTTGGACGGTAAATGATCCAGAATACTCCAGGTGGGGTTGGGTACCCTTGGACGGTAAATGATGCAGAATACTCCAGGTGGGGTTGAGTGCCCTTGGACGGTAAATGATCCTAAATACTCCAGGTTGGGTTGAGTGCCTTGGACGGTAAATGATCCTAAAACACTCGGCAGTATGAATCGAAGGTAGACCATAGCTTGTGAGCTAGGCATCCGGGAAAGGAGTGAGTAAAGTCAGGTAAGAACTTTATCTCTAAAAGACTCTTTAAAGGAAATAACCTACGGGTTGAGTATTTTACAAATATATATATATATATATATATATATATATATATATATATATATATATATATATATACACACACACACACACACAATATGTATCATCGGGTGGATGAGTCACATCTAAATAGATGTATCACCCTATTTTTGGGTCTCGTGTCTGAAACATCAGTTATTCCCCATATAGCCTACTTGTCACTAGTACTTCTGTGGAGTACTGACCCCTTCGGGGGCCCTCACATTTTTTCAGGTTAAGGCTAGAGTCCTTCTACCTGCACCTTTGCCTAGGGTGATTGATCAAGGAGGAAGACGTGGTTCGTGCTTCCATTCTTATTTGAAATTTATAAACTGCTCATGGATATTTTTAAACAATGTTTTATATTAAAACATTTGGGGGCCTGCGAGCCCGTGTTTGCCACGTGTGGCTAAGTATCAAACATTCTACTTCCGCATTTGTTTTGATTATGATATTGATGTTGATTGTATGTGTTTGTTAATCGGTTTGGCAATAGAATCTATCGGACGCCTTGTATGATTCAATAAGGATGAACTAAGGTTGTTCTTATCGGGTTGTACAGTGGTTGTCTACGTGGCTCGGATGCGGTCCGGGGCGTGACAATTAAATGGTATCAGAGCCATCGATTTCTAAACTATATAATTAACCTCTCAATATTTTCATCATCAAAAAGTTTTGAACAAAACCATGAGCAAAAGTTTTTGTACTCAAGGAACCGTTGGAAACCAAGTTATTGACCTCTTATTGTTAAGACGGTACCCTTAATAGTTTGTTGGCCATAATGTTGGGCCAAGTGGGGTCTTTCGTACTAATCCGT